CGTTGACTAGAGAGGGAGGAGGTGAGACGCAGCCTGGAGGAAGAGGAGAAGGAGGAGGAGGAGGAGGAGGAAGAAGAGGAGGTGGAACGCAGCCGGGGGGAGGAGGAGGAGGAGGAGGAGGAGGAGGAGGAGGAGGAGGAAGAGGAGGAGGAGGAGGAGGAGGAAGAGGAGGAGGAGGAAGAGGAGGTCGTGGGACGCAGCCTGGAGGAGGAGGACGAAGAGGAGGAAGAGGAGGCGGAGAAGGACCAGTGTAAACCCAAGAGCCATCAACGATATTGGACTCTTCATAGGGCCCTACATCGGTTCATTCCCATTGATGGAACTGCTTCGTTGTAGGATAACCGCTTGAAGACTCTGAAAGCATGCCAAAACATTATTCTCGGGATTGCAACGCCACGGACCAACCTGACTGCTGCGTCTTGACGATCATGGATCGCGCCAGAACGTCGTTTTTGGATTTCAACACTGCAAAATCCGGAACTTCTTCAAAACACCATTTCTGGTACATTGATCTGGGAATCCGTGGAACGCTTGCAAAGGTTACAGACGAATGCGCGCGGCGCGAAGGCGAGAGTCACACTTTGAAAAAGAACCGCCGTCAATGCGCGAAATCCTTGCACTCGTTTAAAAACGAATGTGCGCGGCGCTAAGGCGAGCGCCACAGTTTGAAAACGGGTTCTCCTCAACCCGTGAAATTCTTGCACATTTTTAAAACGAATATGCGCAACGCTAGGGCGAGAGACACATTTTGAAAACGGGTTGCCCTCAATCCGTGGAGCTCGCTCCATTTTGTTAAACGAGTTTGCGTGGCGCCAAGGCGAGAGCCACATGTTGAAAACCACACGCCCTCCATCTGCGAAACTGCTGCCAACTTCTAAGTTTCAGAGTCATACGTGGTGAGGAAGTCTGATGCGAAATTCCCAGCACGCCCTAAAAACTGGCCTCGGGGTGCGACAGGGAGCAAGTATCCATAAGAGAAGGAATGGAAGAGGAGGAGAAAGAGGAGGAGAAAGAGGAGGAGGAGGAAGGAGGAAGGAGGAAGGAGGGAGGTGGGGATTCGACGACTCGAAAAACTGACGGCGCAGTGACCCGAGAGCTGCCCGAGCGCAGGAGCGGCGGAGCGCCGCCTCGGCTGGCCCTACATTCCTCCTCCTCCTCCTCCTCCTCCTCCTCCTCCTCCTCCTCCTCCTCCTCCTCCCCCTCCTCCTCCTCATCCTCCTCCTCCTCATCCCCCTCCTCCTCCTTTTCCTCCTCGTCCTCCTTTTCCTCCTCCTCCCCCTCCTCCTCCTTCTCCTCATCCTCCTCCTCCTGTTCCTCCTCTTCCTACCCGAACGGTAGTTCATCGTTCTGCACGTGTCTTTGCCTCTCTGAATGTTCTCCCCTGTCCGCTGCTGTTTGTGCTTGGGGGCACGATAGGTTTAGCCTATTGTGTCCGTGCTGTTACCGTGTTGCACATCCTTTTTTCTTCTTCTGGCGATTGCAGAAAAAACAGCGCATCTACACTCTTAGTTGGTAGCGGAGCGCGGAGCAGCCCGCTCCGCCGCGACCACTCGCCGCCAGCCATGGCCCGCGAGCCTCCCCACCGTGTTCGCGGCGAGCGTACATCTTGCACCTGCTCTTCCCGCATCGTGATCATGCTGGTCATCCATTTCGCCCCAGCAGGCGCCGGGTCCTCCCAGGCCCATCCGCCAACACCGGCGCAGGACACCCAGCACACCTACTTCAATGAGAACAACTTCGATACGGACAGAGCCCCCCGCCCACAGGCCTTCCCCTTCGGGTATTTTCGACCAATGTTCGAGATGCTCGGGGTCCCTTCGTTTTGATGAGATTCGCTTGTGAGCGCCGCCGTCAGCGTCAGATTTTCGAGCGATCAGACTTCCACGCTCACGGCGTCGGCACAGGGCCCCGGGCTGTCCGCAACTATGATGCGGGCAGGCAAGAGCGGGAACACAGAGGAGGGTCGGGCATTTCGGTTGCTATCCTGCCGGGGGGCTTTGAAATAAACTCAGGACTATTCGTTATCGGCTCTCGGAGACATGAGACTCAGCGTTTCCTGCGCAATCCCTGCTTCTTGGCAGACTTGGGTCCCTATGCATGCGCCTCTATACTATCGGATAGTTCGCAGTGTCCAACATAGTTCGCAGTGCCCAACACACTGACCATACGACGCACGACGAGTTTTTCCGCCACTGCATGGCAGAGCGCGAGTGCTGCCAGCACGCCGATCGCGCGACAGAAGAGAAGACCCAATACGCTGATGAGGAGGCGCATGCCAGGGACAGATACCCACGACGGCTCCGATTATCGCCCCTGGCGGGTGACTGGGCCGTCGCGCCTCCTCGACACTTGGCGGGGGCCCCACTCTGGATGGAAGCCCATCGGAGTGGACACGGTCGCGCGCATCGCCCGCGCGGGCGCGGGCGGCGGCGGCCGCGGCGACACGCGGCCCCTCCCGCACCTGGGGGCCTCAGCAGCTGGCTCGCGCCCCCTTCCAACG